TTTTTAAATTTTCATAATAGTAGTTTTTTAAATTTTCATAACAATACACCATTTGATAAAATCTATTTTTTTTTTTTAGAAATTCGGATGGGAATTCCAAATAGAGGAATTCTCAAGTCATATGTAATCCTAGAGGAAGAATGATACCGAGTTCGTCTCAAATTCTAAGAGTCAACAATTTTTTTATGTAGGATACACTTTTGTGGATATAAAAAATTTCGTCAAAGGTTGTTTATTCCTTATTGTAATAAAAATATTTTAATACACATAAATCCGTATTTACTCATATTACGGTTTTATATAACTTACAAGTTACAATAATAAATAACCCCCCAACATATTTTGTCTGGATTTCATTTAAAATTTAATCTTCTTCTTCCTCAACTCTGCCAATCCCCACCCACTATCCCCACTCTCTCTCTCTCTCTCTCTCTCTCTCTCTCTCTCTCTCTCTCCTTTTGTAACCACCAACACACACACAAACACACACACAAAACAAATTCTTGTATTGTCCATCGCCAGCCATTAATTACTCCTCCAACAAGTAAAGAAGCCAGTGCCAACAAGAAAACCCATTAATTTTTTTTGAAAAACTACTCAATAAATCATGATTCAGTTGTTGTTTTCCCCTGAGTGTTCTGCAAAAGCTTAGAGGAAACTAAAAATCGAATCTTGATTTTTCTTCTTTTTTTTTTTTCTTTTTCCTTTCGAAAAAGGAAAAAAAAAAATTCAGAAAATGTCGGGGAGCCCATCTGCCGAAAGCCCCCGGCCGGCAGGTTTGTACAAGAAGATGAAGCGTCTGAGGGTGTTGGAGCCGTCGGTTGGGATTCTCGGGCTGGCGGTGTGTGTGATTTTGGGGTTCTTCGTCCTGGATTACGGGAGCGTGGCGAAGGGGCTGAGGCTCCCGGACGAGAGCTTCCCGTGGCTCAGATTCGACGGCGAGGAAGATGAGAGTAGAAAGAGTGATTTTTTGACGGAGGGTAGCGGCGGGTGTGACGTGTTCGACGGCGATTGGGTGTGGGACGAGCGTTATCCGCTGTACCAATCGAGGGATTGCAGGTTCATGGATGATGGATTCAGGTGCTCTGAGAATGGAAGGCCTGATTCTTTCTACACTAAGTGGAGATGGCAACCCAGAAATTGCAACTTGCCCAGGTACTAATTTATATATTTATTTATTTATTTATTGGGTAATTTATTCTTGTTTTGGTTAATTTTAGCCCAAATTTTTTATTTTGGTTAATTATCAAAAAAAAAA